TACAAATACAACCTAAACATGAACCCTTGCGATGAGGAGCCGGCAAAAGGCACCCTGCATGCGCTGGACCAGGAGTGGAGGGTTTAGGGTTTAGGGTTTAGGGTTTAGGGTTTAGTGCTTGGGGTTTAGGGTTTAGGGGAGGTTTAAGTTGAGGGTTGCGAGGGGAAGGGTTTAGGAAGAAATGGGAAAGGCTGACGAGGAAGGTGCGGCTTAAAGCAGGCCAGCTTCTCTGTGCGCAGTTGTCTGAATTTTGGTTTTGGCTAGGATGCCCAGTAGTACCCTTATTCCCTGTTTGGGGGTTTAGGTTCCCTTATAAGGGTTTAGGTTCCCTTATAAACACCTTTAAGCAAAAAAGGGTACCCTTTTTAATCCTAGGTTACTGGGCAACCTAGTTGGGTACTGTATCAGAAGACAAGGCTTTGTATTGTAGGACTAGGAGCCTCCTGTTGGACCATACTGGGTTTTGAGCTGCGCACATGCGAAGTTCAGCAACTGCAAAAGCTTACTTTTGCCGAGAGTACTTTATTTCTCCTGTGTAAACCCCGCAATCAACCGGACATCTACCATGTACCCTGATGATTTGCATAGTTTCCCGAAAACCTATAGTCAGTGTAACCAGTTAGGTCTGTTTCGTAGCAAAAGGATTCCATGGTCAAAGCTGCCCTGGTGCTGCAGCGCTACGTCCGGCTGAAGAACTACCGTCACCAGGCGGCGGCCAGGTAAAGCCTGAGGGCTTTAGCCTGATAAGGTTTAGGGTTTAGGGTTTATAGAGTTTAGGGTTTCGGGTTTCGGGTTTCGGGCATAGGGTAGGGTTTAAGGTTTACTTGTAGAGTTTACGGGCATCGGATGTAGGGCTTTAAGGAACGCAGACATCGTGACATCATTTGAAGGTTTTTTTGTAGTAACAGCAAGATTTCAGAATAGCATTGGGCACATGCTGGCATTGGACATGCGAAGACACACGCGCACACACGATACCTACATGAGTTTTCCCCACCTAAGCCCTTTACCCTAAACCTCCGTTTCCATAGCCTCCAAATGGCACCCTGTGCGCACTCAGACAAAGCTCTTTCCACATGTAATACAGGGGTCGGACTAATGACTAGTAGTACTCACTTCTGGGCTCATGGTCCCTATGTAAGAGTACTATAATAACCCCCCCCCTTTTTTGCCCAAACAAAAAATCGAGATGATTAAGGTTTAGGGCTCAGGGATCAGGGTTCAGGGTTTAGGGTTTCGGGTTTAGGTTTGAGGGTTGAGGGGAGGACCCTACAGTAGTTGAAGCCGACTTCCGGAAGATGATGTTCGTAGCTGGTGGTCAGCTCCCAGCCAGTCCCTCACCTAGGTAGGCCCTGGGGACATTTCACTTGTTTCCTTCTTGGCCTCAAGAGGATGATATTTAGGAATTTTTGTCCAAGGGTTTTTAAGGGCCGTCCTGGGATATTTTTCCAAGGGTTTTTAAGGGCCATCCTAGTGATGAAGCGGAGCCATGGACAGCCAAGAACATGCCTTCGAACTACCGCACACAACCTTGGGAATGAAGCCTCCAAGCCTATGAACCCTGTAAGATCTGTAGAGCCCCACGCCATACTCCAACTAAGCATAGCCCTAAACCCTAAACCTTAACGCCACGGTTCCTGAACTTCAATTCCTTAGTCCCGGACTTGAAGGGGCCACCTACACGCTAAAGCCCTAAGCCGTACAAACCTGAACTGAAATTCTAAACCCTGAAAACCCTACAAACCCCATCAGCCTATGAACCCTATGAACCCTATGATCCCTAAACCCTATGAACCCTAAACCCTAAAACCCTAAACTCCAGCTTCGAACCCGAGAGACCAACTGAGGCTGGTTCCTTCTGGGCCGACGTGGGCCATCACCCGTGCAGCTACCCCCACATCCAGGCCTTTGGGTTTAGAGGTTTAGGGGTTTAGGGTTTAGAGTTTAGTTCTTGGGTACTATTATTCCTAAGAAACAGCAAAAATATAGTTCTTGCTAGGATTCCCTCAGGCAGTATAGAGGCAGGGAGGTCTGGGTTTATAAAGGGTTTGTAGGGGTTAAAACCCTTGAAGGTTGTTCAGGTTTTTAAGGGTTTGTGGGGTTTGCAGGTTTGTAAGGGGTTATCGGGTTTGTAGGGTTTATAGGCCTTCACATCCAGGTAGGGAGGTCTGTTTGCACCTCCGGCAGGCGCTTGGGACATTTGAAGTTTACCCCTATTGGGTTTACATAAGTGGATCATATCAATTTTGCAAAGGGTATGAAGGGCACACATCCAGGCAAGGAGGTTTCTTTGCACCTATAGTGTTTAGAGGGTTTGTGAGGTTTTAGAGGGGTTGTGGGTTGTAAGGGTTTAGAGGCTTTGTAAACTTCATTCAAAACAAAGTGGAATCATTTAAAAGTACTTAAAACTCATTGAGCAGATTTTCAGATTAATTAAACTTCACTAAAAGAAAGTAAATTATTCATTCGGAAAAGGAACTGCTTTGCATTTTTACATTAGTTTTCAATTAAGATATTGAAAAGTGGTTTAAGTATTCTTAATCATTTTCTCAATATTTATCAATGAAAACTACTCAAGATCCATTTCCTAGCAATCATGTTTTTAAATGAATAGTCAACTTACTCTTTCACGTAGTGTAGTTATTTTGGAATATTGTTCAACGTGTTTTTACGTACCTTTAAATAGTTCGATTTTGTTTTAAACGAACTTGCGGGGATGTGCGGGGGAGCGGGGTTGGGCGGCGCGGCGGGGGTGGGGGGGGGGCACGGTGGGTGGGGGGGGAGGGGGCGGGTCGGAACGGTAAATTACAGAAACGCGCTACATGGTGAACCCGCACAGAAGGCATCTACCAATAGTTAGGCTACTTCTGCCCATACCCAATATAACAAGCTCAAAGGAAGGTAAATCTACCGATAATTTAAGGTAGTCTTTCCCCTAAACCTTAGGGTTTAGGGTGTCAGTGTTTTGAGGGTTTCAGCGTTTAGGGGCTCCCCAGACCTGGACAGGGGAATGCACAGGATGCCTGCAGTAGCCGCGCGACGTACTCTTGAAAAGCACCCAAATCAAAGGCTTAACAGAGGATTGTTTGCCCAGAGGCCCCACATAGTATGGCTTCTAGTACCTAATCCCATAGTTGTGCTAAAAGTGGATTCTCTGGGTCAGTTCTATGCACCCGAAACCCCAGGCCTGTAGTCTCAAAAGCCTAAATCCTCAAGAACTTGCACATTTTTGGATGATGCCGATAAGTTCTACATCGTGGCTGGTTTGACCGTTTCGCCAATGCTGACCCTCTGCATGTGAAAGCGGTGCTTCCAGGCGACAAGAGAAGGATACCCGTTGGCATACAGATTCTCCTCTGCAAGAGCCACGTGTTTCGGGGTTTTCTTCTGGGCCAGTGGTTTCATCTTCATGTCGCCCGACTTACATGAAGTAACGCGATGACCCCCCCTCCCCCGAAGTCAAAGCAAAATCTCATTCCCTACCCCCCCCCAAAAAAAAAAAAACATACAATAAAAAGATAAAAGAAAGTAAGAATATCCATCTTAGGCATGGCCGGGATCCCGCAACTGCATGGCACAGCTGCATGCGATCGGCCACGTGGTGGCATCGAGAATCCCGGGATTACTGTAGCAAACTCATTGTTTGGGTGGGAGCAGCACTATAGGGGTGGGAACAATTGCTGATAGTATTTCCCTTATGGTTCCTTTACAATTATGCTACAATACCCCCCTGCCGCCCCCCCCCCCCCCCAAAAAAACAAAAAAAAAACAAGAAACAGAACCTGTTCTAATTGTTAAGGCCGCTATATTGCGTGTTTCCTTGGTGATGCGACAAGAAATTCAGGTGACAAGAAACAGATGTTGGGCACGCTTTTGATTGGCACTCCCTTGTTTGAAGTCAAGTATCTGCGACTTAAGCAACACCCAGCAGTCTTCACTATTGTCTTAATTTTACTTTACTATTCCTTTTTTGGAGGGGAGAGAGGGGGCTGCGGGGGGAGAGGGGGTGGGCGGTTGGCTGGGGTGAGGGTCGGAGTCCGAAGGTCCGCTTTGAAGTCAAGTTTCAGCTTATGCACCTTGCACGTGGTGCACCTCTTACTCTGCGTTTGGTTTTGCTCCGATTGATCTGACCCATATGTTCGTTCTCGTGGAGTTGTGATATTACACTTTATGTTGTCTGTGTTTCCACACGGTTTGTGATATAACTCCACAGAAACAGTTACTGGCATAAACATCATTACAATCACGAGGGGTCTATAGGTCTAGGTACCCTCAACACCAATGGCCTGGGCTTGGCGTGTTCAAGCTGACGAAATGTCCTTTCTTCTGTGGATATGTGATTTAGTTTAGGGTTTAGGGTTTAGGGTTTAGGGTTGAGGGTAGCCCTAAACCCTAAACCCCAAACCTTCAAACCCCAAGGCACTTGAAGCGCCAGACCAGTCAGAGGAAGTGCCGCCAGGCCTGCAAGCTTGGGGGGGAATCGGGGGGGAAAGGTTTTCGGGTTTAGGGTTTTGGGGTTAAGGCAGTTCCAGGACAACCTACCCTCAACCAAAAAGTTGCCCTGGCTCTTGAGCCCTAAATGCTTCAACCCCAAACCCTGCAAAGGCAGACACCCAAGGAAAGGAGAGCCACGTAATCAGTCGAGCGATGACAACCTTCCGAGGAGTCTCCAAAGAGCACTCCAGTCGATGCGGGTGCAAGCACATTCTGGTTGTGTGCAGCGCCAAACAAGATCTGGCTCTCGAGGTGGTGGCGGGACGGTTTCGCCGTGCTGAGCTCTTGCATTTGTCAAAAGGCTTCGCTGTCAAAGGGTCAAAGGCCTTTGGCCGCGGCCCCTTTCGACTTGTACTTCACGATGGGTGCGCCGAAAAACGCCGCCGCCAAGCCGTGCAAAAACCACAGCACGTGCCAGAACTACGCGAAGAAGAGATCTTCGCTGGGGCGGTGCAGAGACTGAACCCCAAGGCCCCAAAACCCTAAGACGCGACACCCTAAGAACCCAAATCCCTAAACCCCTAAACCCCAACATCCCAAAACCCTGAACCCAAAGCAGCCCTAACCCCCCCGAACACCTCTAAATCCTAAAACCCAAAACCCAAAAGCCCCAATATAGCGCACCTTTGCAAATCCCGACATCCTAAGTCAACTCGAAGATCCCATAGCCCCAAAATTAGGGTTCAGGGTTTAGGGGTTAGGGCTTAGGGTTTAGGGTTTAGGGTTTAGGGTTTAGGGGATTAGGGCTTAGGGTTTAGGGCTTAGTGTTTCGAGTCACCGGGGGGAAGGTGGTTGAATATTGGGCAGTAGCAAGCTCTTGACTGTAATCTTCTGTTCCTGTGCATGAAGGCCCTAAACCCTAAACCCGGAACCCTAAACCCTAAATGTGAAATCAGGT